TCTTGCTCAGTTTTGATTAATGCTATGTCATCAGTGAACAATAGCAACAATGAAATTACACCATCTCTTTCCTTTTTGAATAAACATGGATCAGCCATGCCAGCTACAAAACCTATCTTTGTTAATTCCTTTACTATGCACTGGTTCCATTCATAGCTGATTGATTCAAGCCATAAAGACTCTTTTTTAATCTCCAGCAATCAGTTTTGTTATCAGTTTTTATCCCCAAAGCCTTTTTTAAAATATATAGTATGTTGCAACGGTGCATGCAGATATGCTGTCTCAACATCTAAATGGTTTATTTCTTCTTAGCTACCCACACTAATGCTGCTCATAATGTGGTAGCCTTCGGACTAAGTGCAAACACCTCATCGTAGTCGTTGGCTGATTGATCGAACCCTTGTGCTACTAACCTGGCTTTATGGGTAACAGTCCCATCCATACCTGTCTTAATTTTATAAATCCACTTACACCCTATGGCTTGCTTACCTGGTGGTAACCTGACATTTTCATATACCTCCAACCTTTGTAAGGATTTCAATTCCTTATCCATTGCTTCCTGCCAAGCAGCCTGATCCTTAGCCGGATACAGTTTCAGTTCATTATAGTTAGTAGGAACTATATTTACTTGGCATGCTATACTAGCCTGATATCTATCTGGTGGTCGTGTTACATGGGTTGAACGTCTAGGCAACTCAGGGCTTACTGGTGGACTCTCCTGTTCCACCTGCTCCTGTTCTTCTACCTCCTCCTGTGCCTGTTCTTCCTTTTTAATGGCTATTGATGGTTTAACTATCTCATTGTTAGGGACTACTTGGGTGTTGATAACAACATCATTGTTGGATTCCTGTTCTAGTTTATGCCACCCAACATGCTCAAGAAATTTAGCACTAGCACTACAGTAAACATTAGCTGTGCCTGGAGCCCAGAATCTAAACAATCTATGATTGGCCTCGTAACCTACGAAAAATAATATCCTAGCTCTATGTTGCCCTTTCAGTCTTACTTGTGAGGGAATATGCACCCATGCTGGAGCTCCAGATGTGTGTAGATAACTTAAATTTGGTTTTCTGCCATGCCAACGAGTGAATGTCAATTCACCGGTTGTTGTGTTCACCACATTGTTTAACACATGGTTGGCACACATTATGGCTTCACCCCACAGTGCTTCAGGCAAATCTGAATTGGATAACATAGTGCCATAGTGCCATGGCTTGTAACGTTTGCCCCCTTCATTCTATAAATGAGTTATGTTGTGGCCTGTAAGGGACAGAACACTTATGCTTGACACCAGCCAATTTCAACATCGTTTGGAATCTAGTGTTAATAAACTCAGTCCCGTTATCTGTAACTAGGGTAATTACCCTATGTCTCATTTTCCTTTCAGCAAATCTTAGCCAGTTAAAGAAATGTTGGAACATTTCTGTTTTGTTTTTTATTAGATAGCAGAAACCGTACCGTGAGTAATGGTCCATTATACTCAAAACATAGCAGGCACCTCCCAAACTGGGTTTCTTAGGACCAATTATGTCAGCAAAAACAACCTCTAAAGGTTCTTTGGTCTTAAACCCATTCAGTCTGTTTGCAGGAGTAACCTTGCTTTTCTCCTGATTACAGGCATGACAGTTTCAAGTACTTGCTACAGGGTTTTGATTTTACTCCCTCTGACAATTTAACAGTTTCAGCATTTTGAAACTAATGTGCCCCAGATGTCTATGCAGTAAATGTATACATTCGTCATGTGGCTTAACATTGTTATAAACCGAGTTAGCCATCTGCAACTGGTCATCATGTATCACATATAAATCATTCTCTAAAGTAGCAGTAACACTTTTATCCTCTTTCAGTTATCTCCCCTAAAGGTTACTACATAACCAATATTAACTAAAGCTCTTACTGATACCAAATTAAATTTCAGTTTAGGTACGTACAACATAGGTAAATGCTCATTTATACATGAACAATATGCAGTACCTTCACCAGATGCTTTCATCTTCCATCCATTTGCCAATGATACATGTTGCTTACTCATGGACATCTTTATAAACCTCTCTCTATTTCTAGTAATGCACTGCGATGCTCCACTATCAACTACCCACAAATCATGGTTTACAGTTGAATTGCTAGACATAGCTAAACTAACATTCTTCTTAGCCTTCTGGTGATTACCAATATTCTGTCGTTTGCCCTTCTTACAGAATCTATCTATATGTCCCCTAGCCCCACAAGATAAACATCTCCTAACAGTATAGGCAGTTGAAAACAAATCCTCTTCTTGTGGTTGTTTCTCTCTCAGTTAGTCTCTATCCTGCCTTCTTGCCTCTTCTAACAATTGTCCGGTTATGTCAGTCAATGTCAGTTCATTTCAGGTCAGGACTTCCAGTGAACATACATAATCATCATAACTTTCATCCAGTGAGGGAAGAATGATGTAAACCTGATGCAGCTCTGAAAATATCACTTCCTTTTCATGTAGCTCTTGAAAAGTTCTTTTCACGAAGTTTAAATGACCTAACATATCTCCACCTTTCAGAAGATGTGCTCTAAACAGTTTACGTGTAAGATGTATATGTGCACCTACACTGTCACGAACATAAATCCTCTTCAAATTCTCCCAACACCTAGCAGCAGATTCTTCTCCACGAATATGGACTAGCTGCTGGTCACTCAGTGTTAGTCCAATTGTACAAAGAGCTCGTTCATTGTTCCGTTTAAAGTCAGCTAACTTTTTGGCATCATCCTCATCATTTGGATCCCAAGCATTTACATCCGGTGGATCCTGAACTGCAGCCCATAACCCTTCCCTACGTAGAAGTAGACTGCACTTCATAGACCAGGAAACATAGTTTGTTCCATCCAACCGGATTATCAGTGATAGACTTGTTGACGTGTCTTGTGCCAGCTTTACCAGGACAGTAACCCACAATTAAACAGTAGACAGCTGTCTGTATATGGTACTGTGTATTCACACTAACTCTCAGTTATCTGAGGCTGGGCCCAAAATCAGTGTTGAGGTATTCCCCATTAAGAGAATGAGTGCACTCAGGGAATCAGAGTGGTGATGACTAACACACAATCAGCACACAGATACACTGAATAGTAAAATGTAAGTTTTACTTCCAGTAAATGGGTAAATAAAGTCCAACAAACAGTCCAAATCATAGACGGTTAAAGCAGTTAGTATTCAAAACAATCAATCCAGGGATAATCCAAAAATGAAGTCCTTTTCTTTACCAGTATCATAAACAAAGTTCAGTAAACAGAGTTTGCGAACAGTTGTAAGACTCACAGCAATTCAAGCAGAATGATGTTCAGGCAAAAGGGAAGCGAAGGAAATGCAAAAAGAACAAACCAGGTTTCTGGCTCCATCTTATGGCCGTTGGAGGAGCCTCAGCCAATCACAATTACAACATTCCCTTAAAGATACAACAGTATTAAATGACTATCCTGGTTTATATATTGCCAACCCAACTGTTAGGTGACTACCATTCCTCACAAGTAGAATTAAAAACACAGTCCTATAATCTTAGGAAATCTAGTGATTCTGGTGCTGGACCAAAAGACCCATGTTCCATTCCATAGTTGGCTACTGAGCTCACTGAATAACTGTAGGCCAATGGCTCTGTTTCTCAACCTACTCTGTTTCACAGGTTTATTTTTGCAACAACAACATTGAAAATTTACAATGTTATGAATGATGAATGCTACCTTGAGTTTCTAGAAGGATAGGGTATAAATGCAGTCTTGAAGTCAAGTTCTATTCCATACCGATAGTTGTTTTCCTGGATATATCATGACTATGGTTTTTCACAGCATTTGTTTGAGATATGTTTCAGTTTCAAAATTTAACATTCAGAGGTGGGATTTCCTGGTTGTTTCTAACATCCTTCCTGTCCCAGTATTAATCAGACCAGTTCTTGATATTAATAATAATCATAATTGCTGACTATCTCTTACCATTAACTTCTGTAACAGATTTATTTTAGCATTCCAAATACCTAATGGGAGTTGATTCAGATTAGAAGGAATATGATTTAGGGAAACAAATCATTATTCCCATAAATGGAAGTGATCTTCTCTGGAGCTTCAATTAGCCATACTGTAACAATTTGCAAAATGTTCTGTTGAATTCTTCTTTCCATCCATTTTTCTGTCCCTCTTACAATTTAATTAGTATTCCATTGTACTAATTCCTTTGTTTCTCCCCATAGTGAGAAATGATGATTTATAAATATATCATTGAGTTTGGAGGGGAGGTGTTCTAAAAATATAAGTTTTTTCTTAGCTTACTAATATCTCCTATTTAAGAATGGACTAGATTGGATATTGTCACATAATTAACAACGGTTTGAGTAGAAATCATGACATCCCTGCACAAATCAAATCTGAATCATCAGTGATTATATTTTTACGGAGAAGTGCCAAACACTGAATTTGGGATCATCCGCAAGCAGGGCCTGTGCTCAGCCCCTAAATTGTCCTGTCTCTCATTTGTCTTATAATTCCTCCCCTGGGGACTGTCCTTGATTTCTCCCATTTGATGTCATACAGGAATGATTCTGCTTTATGTCCTGGAGAATTTCTGCTTAGTTAGAGTAAAAACATCTAGCTGAAATAGATCAGACCAGCGATTTGACTTGCCAGGAAAACACCTTTTATATTTCAGATATTTTAGTAACAGGCATGTATTATGATGTATTAGATAAGCTATTGTGAGTACTGTTAACAGTCCTCCAAAATTATCTGATGATAAATGTATTTGTCCTAAAAGATGAGTACAAGCTGCCTTTCTGCTTCGTTTCCTGGGCCAGGAAAACGGGCACCTAAAAAGCTCAGGAATTTTCCAAGTGGAAACGTCCTTCGCCCATCACCTATGATACTTGCGCTACCTTTGCCCCGCATCCCCGTCTGGATTCCCACTAGGGGGCGCATCTTTCCATTTTTCTCCCGTTTCAAAGCTCGGCTTCCCACAATGCACTGAGCATCGGTTATTATACAGTAGTCCTTGTTTGCACTCTGGAAGTGGGAACAATGCTGCAGGCGCGGCTGCAGGCTGCAGGCGGCGACTCGGTGCGTCCGGCCAACCTTTTCTGCCTCCCTCCCTCCCTCCCTCCCTCTCTCTCTGTCGGGGAGCGCTGCGTAAAAGTTGCTTCTCTTCCCCCACATTCCTTGTAAATGCTTAGGTAAGAGCGGAGGAGATTTGCTTCGGTTGTTTTGCTGGCTTTTTTTGGGGGGGGGGGCGGAGCGGAGCGGGCAGTGGGGCACAGGCGGAGACCGCTAGACATGGCTTCTGCTGCTCGTGCTGGCTGGGCAGATTCGGAGGGAGGCTTTTCGGATCCGAATCCGTTGCAAGCGGATTCGGATTTTGCACGACTGAGCTTCTCTCCCCTCCGTCATGCAAGGGGAATTTGCTGAGCATGCTTTCCGAGACTAGGAAGGAAGAAGCTGCGGTGTCAGGCGTCGCGAAGGGTGCTTGAGGTGTGTGTGTGTGTGTGTGTGTGTGACTGGTAGTTCTCGCTAGAGTTGAGCGCCTTCTTTTCCAGAGTCTTCCGACTTCGGCGAAGTGTCGAGGGGAGAGGCAGAGCAAGGGGGAGGCATCGGGCGTCGGCTGGAAGCGGCAGTGGTAGATGGAAGGATGTGGCCGGATGCTTGCCTCCTTTATACAGTGCATGTTCCGTCTGTGTGGTTTTCCCTGGGAGCGTCTCTCGTACAAACTGTACTCTTCAATTTTGGGGGGGGTCTTAATGCAAAAACACATAAAATGCTGTCTGAAAGGATCTTGTGTGGCATAAGCACCGAACTTCCCCTATTCCCCCCACCCCACTCCCTTTACCGTTTCACCCCTCGCAAGAAAGACCTTTGTGCGGGAGACTTAAGATTCTCTTGTCTCGTCAGGGGCTGCTTCGCGGATCTAGTTCGCGGATTCAGGCGACCCGAAGCGCCCGTCTCTTTTCTCCTTGCCGAATGAGAATCCAGGGTCTTCCTGATTTTCTGTTCAGGATTGGAATAGCTTTTAAAGTTTTCTCCAAGCGCAGGCAAAGGAAAGCTGCGTTCGTTGAGCATCCAGGAGATCATGACTATTGAATCAACCTCTACTCCTGCGGAATCCATGAATATGTGTGTGTAGTTTAATTAGACTCACTGTTGTGTTATTTCTTTACTCGGGAGTCAGGTTATTTATTAAATTTATATTGATTTATACAAATTTAAAATTTATATTATTATTTGTCCTTTGGGTTCAACTTGGAGCAGTAGTGATTCTTTTTCACTTATTTTTTTCCCCCTCCAACCAAGTGGAATTTCTGGAAAAATTCAAAGTGAGAGAAATCAAACCTGGCACTTTCTGTATTTAAAGCTGCTGTTGCTGCTATTATTATTATTGGTATTATTGGTATTATTATTACTATTATTATTATTATTATTACTATTGATTTAATCTTCAATCTGATTCACAGTCTGGGACTGGTAAAAATTTAACAGTTCAAGTCTTAACCAAAGACGTAAGAGCTATTAAGTTAGCATCTGAGTATGTAGGCAGTTCTGAGTAGGTTGTTGTTGTTGTTGTTGTTGTTATTATTATTATTATTATTATTATTATTATTATTATTATTATTATTATTATTATTATTATTATTATTGCATGCCAGCTACCAAGAAGGGCAAGAAATCATTTCAGAATTACAGAAAACTAACTCTGAGAATTATCATCCTAAATGATTATGTGATATATTTTATAGTCAAAGAAATATAAAGAAAGTGCTATTTATCTTTAAAATCTCCGGATTTATTTCTGCATTGTCCTTCTGCTGTAGGAGATGTGGGAAAGGGGTTCTGTTGTCTAACATTGTGATAATATTCATAATCATGTTGGAGTCTTATGTATGCTTTTGAAAGTATAGCAGAAAATAATGTAAATATATAAAGTTTGTTTCGTATTATTTTTCTGAGGACTTTAAATCATGACATTATCTCATTTGCTTCCTCAAACTACTCAGTGAGGCTGGGTTTGTAGAACACCCTTGAATCAATCCATTCATGGTTTTTTTTTAAAAAAAAAAACCTTGCATTACAAATCAATCAAATGGAATGCATTCATATGGCATGTTAAAGCTGTGGTGAAAAACTCACATTTGGAGAGGATTCAACAATTGTTGTATTTTTCTACTGCGAGTGATTAATCTTATGCATCCAGATATCAGCAAAGCCCCAAGATGACATACTGTAGATATTGATCAAAAATAGATTAAGCATGTATAAACACCAGTAGAAGACCCCGTGCTCAGAAAGAATGATTTTCCATAGGATAAGGGTACAAGATAAGAGAAAGGAAATCACAAGAATCATTCAAAGTGTAAAGACCCTACAGGCACTGTTTTGAAATAGGGGAAGTGCCAAGGCTTTAATTGTTATACCTTCAAGCTGAGCCTGTCTGTCACTGTGGCAAAGACAAAGAAGTAACATTACACATCTATGCCTGGACAGCCTTTGCAAAAGGCAAACATTCCATGGGTATGCATACAACCGAAGGCATATAAGCAATAATATCTGTATACAAAAACAACTGTAGAGAAGTATGATTTTAAACAATTACAAGCAAATTTCTTTTGTTCTTTGCAAGATAACCCCCTCCTCCAAATCTACCCCAACCAGGCTGCCTCCTGGAGTCATGACTGGAGGTTTTAAACTCAAATGTTGGGCAGCTGTTTCTCTGAGATGATCCAAAGATCCCTACCCTGGAAGACCATAGTTTGGGCCACCCCTAAATCAGTTTCCATGGTCTTTTTTATATAATCAAATTGTTTTCTTTACTGTATATGCTTAGCATTGGCAAAAATGGTTTGGCGAGTCATACTGGGCCACAGTTCAGCATCATTAGCTATTGTGGATATTTAGCAAACCATGATTAAGCCAATAATGCCTTGTGCAATGCATTAACTCAACTACACCTTTATGCATTTTTGTACTAAGAAAGGCTTATTCTGCCAGGGAGGTTCCTAGATTATCTAGAGGTCTGCACACAAGATACTTCATTGCTTCTGTAACTAAGTAAGATTTGCAACATTTCTTTTGTAAAAGAACCAGAACAGATAGACTGGAAGAGGAGATTGAGACAGGAAGCAGGCCAAAGTTAAAACAAACACACTCTTGCTTCATATTTTCTTATGATGTGCCAAAGCTCCTGGTGTCTTGTACAAACAGCAAACATTCCAAACAGTTCCTGAATTCCAAGATGTATTTACTTTTTTCCTCAGACACAATTTTGGCCGGTTGTGCTTTACTTTTACTATTTGACTATATTTGCACTCCCCGCTGCTGCCATTTTCTTTTTTTCATCTTCTGGGTAGTCACTTCTGGGTTCTTTATTCCCTGGGTAGATTCCACCGGTTCTGCTCTGTTTCTGCTTTTATCCATGCATCACTGAAACAATTAGATTTGTTATATTTTCCACAGCATACATCAGAAGTGGGCTTTCTGTCCTCTTTACTTTTTAAAATCTTGCCTCTCTCTCATCTCATCTACATCATACTTGGAAAGATATTTAAATACTTTTGGAATTTGCTTTTTCTCTAGCAGAAAAGGTCAGGACCTGCCTAGGTCAGGTCAGTATGCTTCCCCCCCTCCACAGCCACATTCTCCATCTAAAGCCCTCCAGGTATGTGAAGTTACATCATCTGGTATTCACAAAAAGCCTTGATAAAGCCTTGATTATTGATAAAGATGGCTGAGTGATTGAAATTATCATCCAGTAAAGGAGAAATTGATTTGTTGGGATTGGCAGTGGTTTCAAAACACAATTTCTTTTTGGAGATGACAGAGGCTGGATTTGACTTTCTGTATGCAAAGCCTCCCCTATACTAATTGACAGTCTTACAATCTTTTCCACTGATCTCTTGATTTTGCTTCCATAACACAACATAGAGCAATATGCATGGGTTTCCAGACAGTCTCTTTCCAAATACTGACCTAGACTACTACTTGGTCCTTTGAAGAACATCTTTTCACTATGTTTTGAGACTCATGTTTCTCCTTGGGCACTATCTTTCTGTATAGATGATGATGATGATGATGATGATGATATAATCTTCCATGCTCTTCCTGTCTGATGGCCTGTTCTACCAGGTTATTAGTTGGGCTATTTCATTTTGGATCAGTTGAATCTTGTGGATGATCTTCAAAGGTAGAGTGAGTTGCACCAATCCAAATGTAAGATGACAAGCTCACGTGTTGCAACTGGTGCCCTGATCTGGCACGGAAGCCTTCCTAGCTGATCAGCAGAGTTATGAAATTTGTCAAGAGTTGTGTTTTTAGAAAATAACTGCTGTTCTAATCTTGGAAATGGAACCCTTTCAAGTTGCTTCTTTTGTTTTAAAATGTTAAAGCTCTAATTCTTCAAGGAATTTTGTTTCTTAAGTGTTTTGGTAAAATAAATAAGTTGTTAAGCCCTGTATATATTTTTAAAGTATCTTAAAATTCTCATGAATGAACTGAAATGTTGTTATGGGCTAATCAGAACTGATATCTCTTACCTGGATCAACATAATTATAAATAGAGCTGGTGAATAATATTTCAGAGGTAAGTCCTTAAGTCTCATTGAGAAAGTCAGTCTGTGTTTGGGCATTCAGTCATGTAAGACTCTAGATGCAATCTGAAGTGATACAACTTCAAAGAAAACTGGGTTGGTATGTACTGACTAGGCTATAGTGCTGACACAAAACTCATTGGTGTGATTGAGATGTGGCAGGTTATTGAATTCAATTGCTCTTGTGGATTGGCTTATATTTAGAGCACAGATAAGTTGGAGCTTTTATTTATTATTTATAGTACATTTACGCTGCTTTTCATCTAAAAAGGCTCTCTGGACCACTTTCATAGGATCAATGAAAGAGGTTAGTCCCTATCCACAAACCAGCAGTCTAAAAACTGTAATCTAAGGGAAAATGAATGAAAGGGAAGAAAACTTTTGGCACAAATTCACAATTTTAACTAATTTAACTTTTAGTCTGTTTATATCGCAAATGGGTGAAATGGAGAAATATCAAGTCTGTCTCATAAACATTCAGTGGCTGTC